CTGCTGCTGCTGCTGCTGCTGCTGCTGCTGCTGCTGCTGCTGTTGCTGCTGCTGCTGCTGCTGCTGCTGGCTTGGTGTTTGGCGTAGGCAGCAGCGAAGTTGCTGCTCCAGTGCGTCCTCCATCGCCCAACAGCATCATCATAATCATCAGCAGCAGCAGCAGGAGCAGCAGCAGCAGCAGGAGGAGCAGCAGCAGCAGCAGCAGCATCAGCAGCAGGCCGAAAGTGTATACATTTTGTCTGGGGGTTAATTTCTAATATATCAGCAGCAGCAGCAGCAGCAAACTGCTCATCATGTGTAGCGAACAATACAGTGCCGGGAAAGGCTTTGACTGCAGCAGCAAGAGCAGCAGCAGCAGCAGCATCCAGGTGGTTCGTGGGCTCATCCAGCAGCAGCAACCCCGTCTCCCCCGTCAGCAGCAGCCCCTGTACTATACTAAACAACGCCTTCTCTCCGCCGCTTAGCTGCCGCAGGGGGGCCCCCAGCAGGGGCCCCCTGAGGCCTACACGACCCAGAGCAGCACGCGCCTGTGCTTCTATGTCTGCTGCTTCATCATCAGCTCCTGCTGCAGCACCTGCTGCTGCTGCTGCTGCTGCTGCAGCAGCAGCAGCATTCCGTAAGGCTTCAAGCGGCGTCAGCTGCAGCGGCAGCACATCCGCATGGTGCTGCTGCAGCAGCAGCAAACGTGAGCGCAGCGAAGCAGCACAGCTCCTTTCTCCTGTAGCAATAACCACTTCCTGCTGCTCCTGCTGCTGCTGCTGCTGCTCCTGCTGCTGCTGCTGCTGCTGCTGCTGCTGCTGCTGCTGCTCGCCCCGCACGCGCCCCGCCAGAGCCCGCAGCAGCGTCGTCTTGCCGCTGCCGTTGGGCCCTATGATGGCTATCTTGCTGCCCCGCCGCACCACCAGCGTCACGTCACGCAGCACCTCTTTAACCTGCTGCTGCTGCTGCTGCTGCTGCTGCTGCGGTGGTTGTTGCTGCTGCGGCTGGTGGTGCTGCTGGTGCTGCTGCTGCTGCGGTTGTTGTTGCTGCTGTTCATGCTGCTGTTGCTGGTGCGGGTGTTGCTGCAGCATTTGCTTTTGTTGTGGTTGGTGTTGTTGCTGTTCCTGCTGCAGCATTTGCTGCTGCTGCTGCTGCTGCTGCTGCTGCTGCTGGAGTTTGGGGGCGATGGTGATAGTGCAGCCTCTGAGTGCTAGTATTTCTGCTGCTCTTTGCGGTGCATGCGGCAGCAGGAAGACTGGGGCTTTGGTTGGCTGTATAGGGGGCGGGGGTTGCTGCTTGAGCTGCTGCAGCAGCTGCTGCTGTGCTGCAGTTGGTGGGGCTCGCTGTCGCTGCAGCTTCTGCTGCAGCTGCTGCAGCTGCTGCAGTTGCTTCTTCGTAGATGCAAGCCACTGCTGCTGCTGCTGCTGCTGCTGCTGCTGAAACGCAGACACAGACCCCATATACTTGGCCCCGAGACAGCCCCGCTGCAGCAGCAGCACGCTGCTGCACACCTGCTGCAGCAGCTGCAGGTCATGCGAAGCAATTATCATAGGGAGCGGCAGCTGCTGCAGCAGCTGCTGCAGCGCAGCAGCAGCAGCAGCATCTAGGTGGTTTGTAGGCTCATCCAGCAGCAGCAACGAAGGCCTTTCTATCAATACCTTCGCCAGCAGCAGCTGCATGCGCTGCCCCCCGCTAAGCGTCGATATCTGCTGCTGCTGCTGCTGCTGCAGCCCCACGTGGTGCAGCACAGTGTCTATCCATCGCTCCTCATCTGCTTCCTGCTGCTGCTGCTGCTGCAGCAACGACAGATGTGCTGCTGCTGCCATCACCGCTTGGTCCCCTGTATCCATGCTCCTGCTGCTGCTGCTGCTGCTGCTGCTGCTGCTGCTTTCGCTGCTGCGGCCTTGTCCTTTGATGAGTGTTTGTAGTTGTTGCTGCTGCTGCAGTATCTGCTGCTGCAGCTGCTGCTGCCGCTGCTGCAGGTGCGAACGAGCTGCTTCTCTTACTGTCTCAGCAGCAGCAGCAGCAGCTAAGCCCTCAAGGCCTTCCTGCTGCAGCAGCGCAACACGAGAGGGGCAGCAGCGGAAGACAACGCGCCCCGATACATCTCCTGTGTTCATCTTAAACGACTGCTGCTGCTGCTGCTGCTGCTGCTGCTGCAGTTCCTGCTGCTGCTGCTGCTGCTGTTGCTGCTCACGCTCGAGCTTCTGCTGCTGCTGCTGCTGCGGCGACAGCCGCCGCAGCTGTCTGCGTGCGGCCTTGCTGAGGCGCTGGCGCTGGCCGCGCTGCTCTGAGTCTCCATGCTGCTGCTGCTGCTGCTGCTGCTGCTGCTGTTGCTGTTGCTGCTGCTGTTGCTGCTGCTGTGCTGCAGCAGCAATTGCATGCAGCAAGGTGGTTTTCCCCGCCCCGTTGCTGCCCAGCAGCGCGAGCTTCTCGTTCTGCTGCAGCTGCAGCGACACGCGCTGCAGCAGCACAGCAGCACCGGAGTGTACAGACACCTCTTCTAGCCGCAGCACCTCAGCACCCCCTGCTGCTGCTGCTCCTGCTGCTGCTGCTGCTGCTGGGTCCTCTTGCTGCAGACGCTGCTGCAGCTGCAGCACGAGAGACGAACTCGAACATCCTGCTGCTCCTGCTGCTGCTGCTGCTGCTGCTGCTGCTGNCTGCTGCTGCTGCTGCTGCTGCTGCTGCTGTTCTTGAACCTCTCCTCACTGCGCAACGGCCCTGCTGCAGCAGGCCATTGGCACTTGCTGCTGCTGCTGCTGCTGCTGCTGTTTGTCCTGCTGCTGCAGCAACGCGGCAGGGAAGCAGGAAGGAGGGGCAAGGCTTCACACAGGCGGCTTCCGCGCAAGAGTAGCAGCAGCAGCAGCAGCAGCAGCACAGAAGCAGCAGCAGCAGCAGCAGCACAGGTGTCGATGCTGAGCGCCTAGCAGCACGCTGTGTGTACATGAGTTAGCTGCACGAGGCAGCTGCTGCTGTTGCTGCTGCAGGTGTATACTCCCGTTGCTGCTGCTGCTGCTGCAGCCGCTGCAGCTATTCCTGCTGCAATCGCCGACAGCAGCAGCAGCAACAACAGCAGCAGCAACTGCAGCAGCAGCAGCTATATAATTGCCAAACGGACGTCAGGGGAAACTCATAAAAAGGGATTGTTGCTGCTGCTGTGTGTCTTGCTGCTGCTGTATGTGCTGCTGCTGCTGTATGTGCTGCTGCTGCTGTATGGACTGCTGCTGCTGCTGTATCTGTTGCTGTTGCTGTATGGGCTGGTGCTGCTGCTGTATGTCATGCTGCTGCTGCTGCTCCGTGCTGCTGCTGTATGTGCTGCTGCTGCTGCTGCTGCTTCGTGCTGCTGCTGTATGTGCTGCTGCTGCTGCTGCTGCTGCTGCTGCTGTGCGGCTGCTACAGGCCGAAGACACCGGCGTGCTCTGCAGGGTTTACTTCTCCGTTGTGTGTATGGACTTGTCCGCAGCCTGTTGCTCTTGAATTGGAGTTTTCACTGCAGCAATGCTGCTGCTGCTGCTGCTGTTGCTGCTGCTGCTGCTGCTGCTGATCCCGCTGCTGCTGCACCGCCTTGATCTGGTGGTATAACAGCAGTTTCGGCTTTCATGAGCTCAAACAGCAGATACTGAGAAAAGACGCCGAGGAGCTGCAGCAGCAGCAGCTGCTGCTGCTGCTGCGTCTGCTGCTGCGTCTGCTGCTGCGGTCGTGGCTGCATGCGGGGGGCCTCATCTGCTGCTGCTGCTGCATGTACACCTGGTTTTGTTAGTGATGATATTTATATTAATTTTTAATGAAGAGGCGACCCTTGAAGGGGTAACGCAGCAGAAAGCCGGCGAATCCGAGCCTCTTCTCGTCCACAGCAGCAGCAGCAGCAGCAGCAGCAGCAGCGGCAGCAGCAGCAGCAGCAGTAGCAGCAGCAGCAGCTAACTCTCTAGGGACCCTACGATGACTGCTTTGGCTTCCAAGTACAGCAGCAGCTGCTGACGGGCGCCGAAGGCGCTAACGAGTCAGCACCTGCAGCCGCAGCAGCTGCTGTCGCCGCTGCTGCTGTTGCTGCTGCTGCAGTCGATGCAGCAGCAGCAGCAGCAGCCATTGGAGGAAACACCTCCGCTTCCTGCAGGCGCAGCTGCTCGCAGCATATATTATGGGGGCTGACGACGAGGCGGGGGTTGCCCCCCAGCACAGCGCGCCGCATGCAGCAGCAGCAGCAGCAACAGCAGCAGCAGCAGCATCAACAGCAGCAGCAGGAGCAGCAGCATCAAGTGGAACAGTGACAGCTAAAAAGCGCAGTCGATGGGATCAGCGGCCCCCAAACCTGCAGCAGCAGCAGCAGCCGCAACAGCAGCAGCAGCAGCAACAGCAGCAGCAGCAGCAGCACCCCACCAGTACAGCTTGTGGGGCAGCCCCAGAAGGAAGTGTTACAGATAGAAGCAGCAGCAGCAGCTACAGCAGCAGCAGCAGCAGCAGCAGCAGCAGCAGAAGCAGCTATGCTGAGTACAGGTCTGACGATGCAGGGAGACGCGTTGCTGCTGGCAACGGCTCGAGCCAAAGCGGCCGCAGCCACGGCAGCAGCAGCAGCAGCAGCAGCAGCAGCAGCAGCAACAGGGGGGGAAGCAGCAGAAGCACTAGCCAG